ACCCCCCTGGGCCTAAGAGGACTCCCTTGGACTCACTTGGTATGTCTTGAAAGGGTGATAAATTTTTTTAAAAATTATTTTTTTGGCTAGGCAATGGGGTTAAGTGACTTCCCCAGGGTCACACAGCTAGTAAGTGCCAAGTGTCTGTGGCTGGATTTGAACTCAGGTCCTCCTGACTCCAGGGCCAGTGCTCTATCCACTGTGCCACCTAGCTGTCCCTAAGGGTGATAATTTGTATTGGTGGAGGAAGTTCTCACACTGAGAATTCCCCACACCAAAGACATAATAATAACGTGCATTTATATAGCACTTTAAAGTTTGCAAAGCGATCTCATTTGATTATTGCAACAACTTTGGGAAGGAGCTGATATTATTATTCCAATCTTACAGAAGTGGGTAATACAGTGGATAGAGGGCCAGGCCTGGAGTCAGGAAGACTCACCTTCCGGAGTTCAAATCCAGCCTTAGACATTGTTTGGCTGTGTGACCCTGGACAAATCACTTCATCCTGTTGGCCTCAGTTTCCTCAACCGTAACATGAACTAGAGAAGGAGATGGCAAACCACTCCAGTATCTTTGCCAAGAAAACTCCAAATGGGGTCATGGAGAGTTGGACACAACTGAAAAATGAGTGAACAGAAACAGAGAAGCTGAAACTGAGGTAAGCAGAGGTTAAATGATTGCCTGGAGGCACACAGCTGACCAGCGTCAGGCTGGATTTGAATCCAGCATTTCCTGACTCCAGGCCCAGCACTCTGTGTGCTAGGCCACCTAAGAACCCACTGTGTGCAAAGACCTACTGTGGTAGGCACTGTGGGAGGCTCTAGTCTCTATTTGTGAAGAACTTACATTTCACTGGGGATCTCAAGTGTATACAGAAGAATTCACTTAAGAATGATAGAGCTGGCTGTCTGTACGTCCAAGAGAGCACACTGTGCATTAGGGCAAGCAGGAGGCTAGCGGGTGCAGCCCAGGATGGCTTCCCAGAGGGTTCAATGATGATTTTGTTTGTAGGAGGGGGATGCCCATAGATTGGCCCAAGGGGAGAGGACAGGCCAAGTGGAATGACTAGCAGATACCAAAGACAACAATGAGCCAGTCCTGATACGGGATGAGAGGATGATTAATAATAACAACAATAATAATAATAATATAGTAGTATTAATAGGAATAGCAGCAGCAGCTAGAATTTAAATAGTGCTTTAAAGTTCGAAAAGCACTTTACAAATATCATCTCCTTTGATCCTCCCACCAGCTTCAGGAGGTTGGTGCTGTTATCATCCCCATTTTACAGATTTGGAAGCTGAGGCAGGCAGCAGTCTGGCCCACAGTTGGAAATATCTGAGGTGAGCTCTTCCTGACTCCAGACCCAGTGTTCTCTACACTGTACCACCACGTTGCACCTAGCTTGGCCGGAGCAGAATTGGGCAGGATTGGGAGAATGCAATATGCAGCATTCGATTTAATTCAAAGGCTTATTAAGCACCTACGGTATATTGCTAGACATTAGCAGTGACGTTGCTGGGATGTGAGTGACTAATTGAGATTCTATACCTCTGAAACAGATTCTCAAGCACCCAAAAGGGGTGGTGGTGATGGGAAGGAGGAAATTAGTATTTCAGAAAATTATTCTCCTCACCTCTATGTGCAAGAGGGATTGGTTTGGGGAGTGACTGGCCCACATAGAGTTAGAAGGGGCCTGGTGGCCATCTATCACCCTTACCCTCAGCAATGTGCCTGACCATCTAGTCTCTGCATGAAGATCTCCAAGAAGGGAGGACCTACTGCCTCTAAGGGCAGGCCAGTCCAACTTAGGATAGCTTTTTCATTGACATCCCTCCAATTGACTCCAGTTGGAACTTCAGCCTATGGTTCTGCCCTCTGGGGCCAAGCAGAAAAAGACGGAATCTGCCTTCCTCATGGAAATACTCGAAGACAGCTATCATGTCCCCCTTCCTCTCATTCACCACCACTGAGTGTCCTCGTTTCCAGGCTTAACCTCCTGATTCCCTTAACTGATCCTTCTACGACATGGGCCCAAGCACTTCTCCATCTCAGTTCTCCTCCCCAGACCCTGGATGCTCCAGCTTATCAGTGGCCTTCCTAAAGTCGAGCCCAATCAGGAATCAAAAGGAAGGGAGGGATGCAAGTGACGGATGATGGAGATGATGAAAGATGAGGCAGAGATCACTCTCAGGTGGAGAATCTGAGGGGCCAGGAAAGAGGTGGTCCGTTCTGAAAAACCCGTCCATTCTGGTGCCCTGGGGCAAAGAGGGAGCCTGGTAGAAATAGCGGTTCCTCATCCTCCCCAGAATCAAAGACAGAATCCTCTGCTTGGTGTTCAAAGCCCTTCAGAATCTGCCCCCTCCTATCTGTCCAGGCTTACTCTCATTTTTATTCTTTTTCATATTATATGTTGTATTTTACCTTATTATTCCTCTTATTTCCACCCTATTTTCCTTTGACCCAGTGACCTTGGCCTCTGGCTGTTCCTGATACAAGACACTGTCTCCTGACTCTGGGCATTTCCCCTGGCCGTTCCCCCTCATCTCCACTTCCTGGAGTCCTTCAAATCCCAGCTAAAATCCCCCTCTTGGCAAGGAGCCGTTCCCAGTCCCCGCATTCCTGTCCCATCCCTCTGTTGATTTATTATCTCCAACTCAGCCTGTCTCCTGTCTGCCCATAGTTATTTCCAAGTTGTCTCTCCAATTAGAGAGCTCTTTGAGAGCAGAGTATGTTTTCTACCTCTAGTCTTCAGAACATTGCCTACCACATAGTAGGTGCTTAATAAATGCTCATTGGTTAACTGGCTTTAAAAAAATTCTTAGGTCAGTTACAGCCGGAAAAGATCTTAGGCTTTCCCTCGTTTTTGGTCTGGTGCTGTCTGACCACCCAAGTGGAGATATTCTGCAGGCAAGTGGAGATAGGGACCCAGAGAGAGGGAGACTGTGAGAGGTAGACTTGGACGCCATCCCTCTACAGATGGAGATTTCTGCCCATGGGTCATCCAATAAGCCAGTCCTTGAAGACTGTGATCTCATCAGTGTGGTCTTTGTGGATCAAAATCCATCCATGCCAACCCTGGTCTGTGTCCTCCTACAAATTCTCCACAGGGCATCCTGTGTGCCCCACATTCTGGGAGCCTCCTTCTCATGTTCTGGAGGTGGTGAGGTTACTGATGGAACATGGTCCTCACTCTCCCCATTCCACTGGACTTTCCTATTACTGGTCACAAAGCTCTTTGAGAGAATCCTTTGCATTCTTTCACCTGCAGGATTCTTCATTTGTAACACGTTGATGGGGGCTCATCCCTCCCATATACCTTTCCACTTGGCAAGCCCTTCTATTCTCTCCGGGAAAATGGAGCTCCAACTGGGACTGAGGAATGCCCAAAGTTTTTCAGAGATGGACATTTTGGACATATGAGGTAGGAATAAAGAACAAGGGGTGGGAAATTTGAATTACTTCATTTTCCACTGTTGACTTCTATATTCTGGCTCCTTTTTCCTGTCTGGACTTTCATGATACTTGTCTCTCCTGGTTTACCTCCCACCTTTGTTGTTATTGTTCTTCTTTGGAGGCAATCGGGGTTAAGTGACTTGCCCAGGGTCACACAGCTAGTAAGTGTCAGAGGCCACATTTGAACTCAGGTCCTCCAGACTCCAGGGTCAGCGCTCTATCCACTGTGACCCCTAGCTGTCCCCTACCTCCTTCGCACCTTTATGACTGCTCTTCTCTGTCACATAATCCACATCATGCCCCCTAATTAAGGGCTATTCCCCAAAGTTCTGTGCTAGACCTTCTCTTCTCCCTCTAAATGCTCTCTTGCCATGCCCTCGGTGGGATATCTAGATGCACACAGCCAGCCCCAGGTTCCACATCACCTTATTGGACATTTTAAACTAGGTGGCCTGGGGAGCGATGTGGTCAGAAAATCGCTTTGGCTGAGTGGGGACTGTGAGGCAAGAGGCTCTGGGGGCCTGACCTAGGGCTGTGGGATGGCGGTGTGTGAGTGGAGATGCTATGGAGAGATGACAGGACCTGGTGACTGCTTGGCCACATGTGATGATGCCAGGCCCCACCCCAGGGGAGGAGGGTGGATGTGGGAAGGCAGTACGGGAAACAGCAGCTGTAAAGCACAGGCAGGCTGCGACCAGTAAGAAATTGAATTCCTTGCAATGAGAACCAATAGGAGCCGACACCCATCAGGTGTTTGTAGATGTTGGAAGGTTGATCCCCAAGGAGGCTAGCTTTGTTCCTCCATTGGAAAGAGGAGCTCAGACCGAAGAAGTCTCTTGGCTTTGACTTTCACAGATGGAGGCAGGAATGCCATGGAGGCTGTCCATTTCCCCTTCCTCCCATCTCCCCCCCAAACCCCAGTGCCAAGGGCTGTGAGTCTCCAAGCCAGGCTGGCAGGGTGATGAACGGCCATGAGGGCCCCATGCAGGTCACGACCACGTGTCTAGGGGCACCCCTAGGCAGGCCAGCTGAAGTAGCATGACTCAGACACATAGTAAAGTACTTGCTTCCTTGGTGGCAACTAGGACATTCCAAAAGGGGTCTGGGATCCAGCTGGACCCACCCAGTTAAGGAAGGGGACAGAGAAGGCTTTGCAGGAAACCTATGCAGCAGCTCACTTCTAAGGGGAAGGCACCTCGCCAGTCTCTGGGCCGGCAAGGCAGAAAGGGGCCCAAAGAGCCCAACAGAGGGAGGTGGTGGGATAGAGCCACGAAGGGTGGAAGGAGGGCTTCCAGGGGGCTGCTGGAGCAACATCCTCGTTGTGGAGAACAGGTCAGCCCTTCACCTCCCACTCCTCGGCATGAACCTCGAGGACAGGAGAAGGCTCCCCATTTTACTAAACTAGAGGCAGGAAGGTGACTTCTCCCACCAGTGACGGCAGGGCCAGAGGGCGACTGGAATTCAAGACCAGATTCCATGTTGAGCGCCTGGGCCATGAGCAGAACAATCCCAGTGGCTGACAGACCTCTCCAGAGACACACTGGTGATGGAAGATGTCACTTTTATTGTTTCTCTCTTTCTGAAAACATGAGTAAACATACAATATATATACCTCTTATTTATATATATTAGATATATTTACTGCAAGGGCTGGAGACTTCCACCAACCCTTCTGGTAGAATTTATTTGAACTCTGTCTTTATTGGGAGGAGAGGGGAAGGACAGGGGAGAAAAAACTTAGTGTCACGGGTTGCCCAAAGCAATAAATCTTTATTAACAAACAGCAGGAAAAACACCCCAGCTCCAGCAGGAGCCACTGGCCAAGTCTCACGACCCCAGGGGATGGTGGCAGCAGACACAACCACCCCCCACCCCCAGACACACACAAGCCAAGCCCCAGGCCCAGCTGGTGGAGCAGGAGCCCTGCGGGGCTGGGTGGGTCTTCCAGGTGAAGCTTCCTGGGGCCTGGCTTGGCAGGAGCTGGCCAGGCGGGGCTCCTCCTGCAGAGGGATGCCCCCCAAGAAGGGCTCAGGTGACAGCTGCTGCAGCTTCTGGTGGGGGGAGGATTTCCAATCCCATGAGCACCCGATGTGGGATTTGAGGAAAGCAGGGGAGGAGGAGGATGGGACAAGCCTTGGTCCAAGGGCCGGCTTCTAGGGCCTCTTGGGGACCCTTTGAGACCCAATCCGATGAACTGTGGGAGGTTTCAGCCAAAGCAAACATGGGGAAGGAGGAAACGCTATGGGACTGCCATCTTGCATTGAGAGAGGGCCCTCTCTCCTGCCCCCACCTCCCCACTCCCCCTAGGGAAGCAGGTGCCTGGGGGCTGGAGGAGCACCTTCCTAACAACAGAACACCCATCTAGCTGGAGGCTAATACCACCGCGAGGGAAGACGTGGCAGGACACCGGTTCTGATAGAGTCAAGAAAAAGCCCAAGAGACAAAGGGTCTTCCCGGGGTCCATCTGGGGTCTGATCAATGACACGCTCAGGCCTGAGTTGGGAGGGCGAGACGCTGGCCCCGACCTTCCCGACCTCAGCTCCCCCACTTTCATTCCCCTATTAAATCTCTGCAGTGGCAGGGGGCACAATCCCACGTCACAGACACCCCCCCCTCACTGTGCATCTCCTCCTTCCCCGGAAAGCCTGAGGCCTAAGCAGACTCAGTGTCCCTGGGCCCCCTGCAGCTGAAGAAACAGCAGGGAGTCATCTCCTCTCCCCTCTCCCTGGGGGAGGAGGGGCGGGAGGGACAGGGGGAAGGGAGGAGAGCATCAATTCTTGAGGATGGTTTCGTAGGCCTGGTAGACATGCTGAGATACCTCCGGGGCTCGGCACTTCAGGGACAGCTGGAGGGGAAGACAGAGAGAAAGGGGCTGATGGCACCGACCCGCCACTCTCCGAGAGCCAGCGTCAGGCCCGGGGTGCTGCAGACGAGCCGTGCACGAAGCCGGGGGCGAGCGCTGCCTCCTCCGCCACGCTGGGCCAGGGACCCAAATATACCTCCAGCCCACACACCGGCTGCCAGAGCTCCCCGCTCCCTGCAGTGAGAGGAGGGATGAATCGGCAGCCGGCTTGTCAGGGAGCCCATCCAGGGAGGCTCGGAGAAGCTGGGGGCGGGAGGCAGGGGCAGGGGTGGGCAGCCCGCCGGGTCTGGCAGGGCCGGCCGCGGTGTTAGAGAGCCTCAGCCTCCTCTCACCATCGCCCGCATCAGAAATGAGACCGATGAGAAAGGAAAACAGGCCGCCCAGTCAGCAGCACTTGGCCCTCTGGCCTCCTCTGGGCAAGGAGCCGGACCTCATGTCTACATCCCGCCTCCCACACTGACTAGCATTACCTAGGGCAAGTCCCTTAACCTGTCTCAGCCTCAGTTTCCTCATCTGTACAATGCGGATGTTATGAGGGTCAAACGAGACAATGGTGGCAAGGCGCTGTCTGTGTCACCATCATCACAGATCCAGAAAATCTGAGAGCTGGAAAGGACCTCCCCCCGCCCCCATTTCAGAGATGAGGAAACTGAGGCCCAAAGGAGGCCGTGACCTGCCTGGGGGACGGCTGGGGCTGGCGCCTCGTGGCGCCATCGCCCCTCCTCTGCACCCCAGGGGCGGCCCGAGCCCAAGGGTCAAAGTCAGCCACGCGAGCCGGGGTCTTTGGGGAGCAAGCACAGACTCAGGCAAGGCAGGAGGTGGATGAGGGAGGGAAGGGAGAGGGATCTGCCTGGCAGGGGCCCGGCAGGGAGGCGGGCGCGAAGCCGCCAAACACAAGGGAGAAGGGGAGGTGGAAATAAACATGCGCAGCCGCACTGCAGCTGAAGGCCGGACTGGGGGGCGGTGCCCTTCAAGAGGAAGGGAGACTGAGCGCGGGATCTCCCCCTCCTGCTGCTTCAACCTGCTTTCTTCTGAGAACAAAATCCACTTAAATTCAAGTCTAGTGAGAGACAGCACTGCTCTGCGCAGGGAGGGAGAGAAGAAAGAGGGAAAAGGATGTGTGGGTGCGGGGGCACGTGCGCGTGTCCGGGCTTCTGGCCCAGAAGAGGAGGCCCCTGCCAAGAGGCCGCAGGAAAGCCGGCCCATGTGTGTGTGTGCACAAGCACGTGTGTGCGAGTGTGCAGGGGCCACCAGGAGCCTCACCGTGAGGTTGGGGTTGCCAGGCTGGACGCGCAGCTCGGCCAGGACCCAGATGCTGTTGGTGAGCTTCAAGGACTGGTATAGCATGTCCTGGCCCTCCACATTCCTCTTGGCGATGGTGAAGATGTTACTGGCCTGCAGTTTGCTGCTCACAGCCTCTGGGAGAAGGCAGGCAGAGGGGAAGTGGCACCCGGGCCCGGCCCCCAGAGGGCACGCACACCCCCAGATCCACCCGTCCCCCTCCTCCCGCGGTCTCCATTTTGGAGAGGGGCCCAGCTGGCCCACTTTCATCCCCCTCCCCAGCTCCCTTTGGTGGGCCCACAGTGCCTGGCACAGAGGGAGCCTCGAATGGAGATTCAGGATGGGCTACGGTGTCTCCCTCACCTGCATTAAGAGGGCAGTCTTTGATCTGGAACTGGGCCTCATTCTCATTGGGAATGTCTTTCCACGTGGCCAGGAACGTCTGCCGCTCTGAGGGGAGAAGCCTGGCTGAGCCCACCTACCTCAGCAGGGACCCGGCCCCCTCCCTGTCTGGGCTCCCAACCCCGTGACTTGGTTACTTCATGCCTGGGGTTAGTCCCACCTCCCGCCCTACCCCACTCCGCTGGCGTATAACCAGAGGGGGATGGGATGATGGACTACGGCGTCTCCTTTGAGGTCCTTCCTGCTTGCCCCTGCCCCGGGCTCCAGCCTCGGCCTCACCTGCTGCCCTCCCCCACCTGCCCCACTCTCCCAGCTGGGTGTCCTCCGCTCCCTCTTGGAGCCTGAGATCCTTTAAACCGGAGCTCACTTTTCTAAATGTTTCCTGACTGTGCCCAGGCCACGAGAAGGCCTGAGGAGCATGTGCCCCTTCCCGCAGGCCTTCAATCATGACTGCTGCCCTGTCCAGCTGTCCCACCCTCAGTCCTAACCTCGACTGAGGGCCCCGGGCCGCCTGTGCCCACAGCAGGCCCCATGGCAGTGCAGGGAGTGCGTGGGGCAGCCGGGGGAGGGGAGTGGAGGGAGGCTGCAGGCCCCAGCAGCCGCTGTGGGGTGCTTACCCATCTTGCCATCTTCCACAAAGAGGATGTGCAGCGGATACAAGGTACTGAAGTAAAACACATCAATGTTGTTCTTTACAGCCACCTGGGGGTGGGGGAGGGGGGTGAGGCACCAGCACCCAGGCCAGCTCCGCTGCCTCTGGCCTCCAGCCCTCCCTAAGCCACCGTGGGGAAGGAGGTGTCCTCTGGGCCCTGGCTGTCAGACTTAGCCAGCCTCAGAAAACCCCGTACCAGAATCATCTCTGTCGGACCGTACTCTCATTTGCTCTGTTACACAGTGACACTTCGGCTGGTTCCCACGGTCCCTGGGGGTGCTCTGGGCCTGTCCAGCACTGAGCCTGCCAGCCCTGCCTCCCACCGCCGGGGCTCCACCTCCCCCCACTCTAAGCCCCTACAAGGCAGGAGAGCTCCGGCTCTAAGCTGACCGCCCCACTCTGCCTTCCCTTAGCCAAGAAGTCAAATGCTGGAGGCCTTCTCTGGACATGGGCCAGCTTCAGCGTGCTGGCCGCCAGCCTGCCCCACAGCTGAGCGTACCTGGAGGTTGTTTAGAGGGTCCATCTTCATGACAGAGCCCACAGTATTCAGAGGGAGGGAGATCTCCACCGTCTGGTTGGGACTGAGAGGGGCGTGGACTTGGAGGGGGGCCGCAGGGGCCAGGCCGAAGCTGTGGAGGTGGGACAGAGCTGAGCCGGAGGCCAGAGGCACAAGCCCCACTGGGCACCCGCCGCACCCTCTTTCCCACTCCTCCGGCTGTACTTGTCCTTTCAGGAAGGCTTGAGAGAAATCAGGCCTCGGCTGGGGTCGGGACCTAAGCTATTCTCATCAGAGAATTCGGGCAGTGTCTGTCCCCAGGCACCCTTTCGCTGGGCCAGGCTCTGGCCCCAGCTCCGGCCAGCTCACAGCTCCTGTTAGAGGAGCCGATCCAACCTCTGCCTCCCTGACGTGTTCCAAAGGAAGACGGATCCCACAGGTCGCACTAGCCGGCCAATGAGATCCCGTGCCCATGAACCACTACAAAGAGGGCTTTGTTTCAGGGTGGGTGCTGGCTCTCCCCTGTCCGGCCCCCTGGGGTGAGTCAGGAGCAGGGTGCTGGCCTCTGCCTGCCGGCTCTGGCTCATAGAATGCCTGCGGTCACCGTCTTAGACACCGCAGTGCAGGCATCGCCGCGGCCATGCAAGGAGAAGAGTTATCAGGAGAGGCTGCTTTGGGCTGAGCGGACAGGCCCGGGGATCGGCCCTGCCCGGCAATGCGCGTGGCCTCCATCCCCCCAAGCCCATGTCGCTGGCGCCCATCCTATCTGTCGTCCTTGGGCGCTCCCGGGCGCGTGGATTAAGAGCGCCGCCTCCCCCCTAAGCCCATGCTGCTGGCTCACTGCTTTACCTGTTGCGGTTAAACTGGATGGCAAAATCAGACATGACCTGCAGGGCCTTGTTGGTCAGCAAGAGGTCCATGGAAATGGAGCCCACCTGGCGGGTGAAAGTCCCTGAGATCTCAAGGCCTTTGGCTTTCATGGCAGGCAGCCAGACCTATGAGAGAAGGGCAACACATGGAAGGGGTCAGCAGCGCGGCATGGTGGCTGCGGTGCTAATCCTCCCTTGGACACTTACTAGCTGGGTGACCCTAGGCCAATGTCCACCCTGAGCCTCCTCCTTTGTAAGATGAGAGCACGGGCCTGTTCTGGAGGGCGTTCCAGGGAAAGCTCTGGCTGCCCTCTTCAGGCGACTGCTTCCCAGGCCCCCAAGGAGGCCCCCGAGGCATGCGGGGAGTGGGTCAGGGTGGGGCTCAGGTGGCCCAGCCCCCTACCCAGATCTACGCCTCAAAGAGACCCCAGCGGCCATCGAGTCCAAAGCCCTCATTTACAGGAGGCCCAGAGGGCCAAGTGGCCAGCATCAGAGAGGCAGCTCCGCCAGCCTAGGTTAGCTGAAGGTGAGGACGGGCATGCCCGGCATTTCGCGGGCAGGGACTGCTTCTCCTTTGTATTGCCAAGCGCTGGGCACGGTGCCTGGCACATGGTTGGTGGCTGTCCTTTGTTCTCACAGAGGACCGAGGTGACATCGCTACACTGGGGTCAGGGCACAGTGCGGCCGACGGGGGCTCCCCGACAGGGTGGGCCCAAGCTGTCCACAGGAACATCTGGCGGGGAGATGGCTCTGAGTTGGTGCACCTCACGCTTCTTCTGAGCTACGGCAACTGTGCTTCCCTCAAAGAGCACGGCGCCTCCTCCGATGCCGGCACCCCACGCTGGGCGGTCCTGTGCCGGCGTCTCCCGTGTCTCGCACTTGATTCCAGTTCTCCAGAGACACCCTGAGAGTGTCCTTGTATCACGCCTTCTCCCCACATGTGAGCACTTGCCCTGAGTGAGTTCTCTGTAAAATGGCGCTTAATAAATGTTGAATGCCTGACTTTGGTGCCTGGGGTGAGGCTGGGGAGGCTGGGGGGAAGATGCAGAGCTCTGGCTCAGGATCAGAACCCGAGACGACACAGTTCTGCCTCCGCACGACTCCTTGCCAGTGCAGGGCGTCCTCTGAGGCCTTCATACTCGTCTCTTCACCTCAAGTGTCATAAACTGGCCTTGCCAGGAAAGGGGGGTCCGAGCGGCTGCCACCACCCAAGGGCCTGTCATCATGAGCACAACCCGCCAGTGAGGCCCGGCGGGCCAATGCAGGATGACTGTGGTCTCCATGTCAGCCCAGGAAAGCTGCCCGGTGTAAATGTGCCATCCTAGCCCTGCACTTGGAGCTCTGGGCCTGTTCTGGGCAGGGGACCTAGTGTCCACCTCTCAGTGCCTCTGTTTCCTCACGCTGGCTCTCTGAAAGCTTTTACAAGGGGGGATCTCTCCTTCCAAGATTGAGGAAGGCCAGAGCACAAGCGGCCCCCGACATTCTCGGGGCATGCCATCTCGGTCTGTGGGGAGGGGGTCAGAGGGAAGGCCCTTCCCGGCTCCAGGATCTCTGTAGGCCTCATCCAGCCATCAGACTGCACAGTTCTACAGCCCTCAGTCGAGGGGTCAGCCCTTCACCAAGGGCCACCTGCTTCAGAGAAGACGGGGATGCTGAGTCTCGGGGCCAGGGGTGGAGGACAGGTGTCTGAAAGGCAGTCTGGAGGAGAAGGGATGAGCTCATTCTGCTGGGCCCAGGGGCCAGAACCAGGGGTAGGGGCTCCATGTGGCTAAGAGGAAGACGGAGGCCAAATGTCAGAAGCCACCTCCTCATGGTGGGAGCCTCCCCAAAGCGGAGTGGGCTGCCCAGAGGGCTTTGGGAAAGGCTGGAGGTCAACGTGCCTGCTGCGGATGCTGGGGTTCAGGTCTGGATAAAGGAGCAGCCTCCTGGCTTTCTTCCAGTGGGGAGACTCCCAGTTGCCCACCCCAGGGCCACCTGCTAAGCACTCATCACCACAGAGCCTGGGACAGCTCTCGATAGGCCCTCTGACGAGAAGGACGAGCAGACCAGTGTCTTACACGGTCCCACCCACAGTGGGTGCTCAGTAAGTCACCACATTGATGAAACAGGGCTGGGGCCCACCTTTCCAAGCTGACCAGACTAGAGCAGGACATTAGGGAGAAAGGATGGACCCCGGTGATACTGCAATCTATGAACAATTAGCCAATACGATACTTTAACGTCTGCGTACACGCACACACACTGTCCCCAAGGGACTGCAAGCCACGGTGTCAGCTGCCCCCTCCCCGCCACTGCCCAGTCACCAGTGATGCAGATTCATGGGACACAAATGTGACTCATGGCACATGGTCAGTAAATGTGTTTTGTTTGTTGAACCAATGCTGACAGAAGGGCCCTGACGCAGGCACATGCACACCCCTGGTGAGGCCCCTCCCCTTGGTAGGCCGTGGAGGGCAAGGCCACTCTGTGTGCTTGGCCACGACAAGAAGCCGATGGCCCAGTGTGGTGCCTTGCGCTTAGTAGGGTTTCCTAAATGTCTGTAGCTCCTGAGATGAAAGGAGACAAAACCCGCCACTGGCAAACTGGCACACCCTGGCTAGACTGGCCCGAGGCATGGGTGATGGGCACAGAGAGCCCTCCTCTCTCTGGAAGCTAAGCTCCCTCCCGGAATGAGTGCCACAGTGCACTCGTGACTTACTGCTTTCGGGGCTACATAGGAGCCTGACAGCGATCCCACTCCACTGGTTAAGTCAAAGAGGTCACCCAAGCCCCCGCCAATGGGGCCACCCAGGTTGGCTGGCATCGTCCCTGCGGGAGGGGCAGCAAAGTTCGTGCCGCCCATCTGGAAAGGGACAGAGAGAGAGGGGGGTGAGGGGGATTGCAGAGGGGGCATTACCACAGGCCTGGAAAGAGAGGCAGGGTACTTACTGCAGGGCTGCCACTCACATCACCTCTAGGCTGCAGAGACAAGAAAGAGCCCAGTAACTGGAGAGCCAGGAGGAAGCTCCCCGCTGCCCCTGGGCAAGTCCCTCCATGGGCCAGGGGCACTGCCCAGCCAGCACTCGACACACACATCCACCAAGGGGATTTAGAACGAGCTCAGAAAAGGGGGCTGCAGGGAAAGAGCCAGAGTGACTACCCCCAGGGTGGGGAGTGCAGAGAAGGGGCTGCTGAGAAACAGGCCAGCCCAGGGACCACCCCCAGTGTGGCAGGAATCCTGGGAGGTGCCCCACGAACCCGGGGGACACAGGCTGCAGCAGATGCCCAGCACGGCCCTTGGAAGGGAGGCATGCCCACTCAGAGCTCCCAGCCAAACAGGAGAGTGGGGAGGGAAGCTCTAATCTGGGCATCGGGGGGGATTTGAAAAGGCCGAGAAGCCTGCTCCCTACCCCTTCAGCCTCGTCGCCCATCTCCAAGCAGATGCAGCCAGGGTGAAGATGACAGCCAGCCACATGCAGAGAGAGAGAAGCCACGAGACAGAGAGAGACGGATGTGACACAGACAAGGAAGAGAAAGAAGGGAAAGGAGGAAAAAAGATTAGTCATGACACAAAAGCTCTTCCCTTAGTCTGATACCTGATTCCAGGCAGGACTCCTGGTGAGCGAACCTCAAGAGAATGGCCTTCCCTACAGACTCACCGAGACACTCCCCCTACACTGCAGCGGCCCCTCGTAGCTCCCCACCTGGCCTGGCCCTCAGAGCTGCCATCTCAGCAGCAAGTGTCCTGGGCCACACCAGGCCCCTTGCAGGAGCTCACCAAGAGCTTCCCCTCTGCTCTGAACCAGTCCATGCCTCCCTTTAGGCTGCTGAGTGCCAGCCTCTCCACTGATCTATTCCCAGCCCTGGTTTCTGAAGGCACGTCCATGACCGTGAAGGGCCAGAGGTGGAACATACAGTCTAGTTCTACTCCTTATGGGCCTCCAGATGGTCTGGAGATGCCCACCCACCCGACATACCAGGCTGTCCAGGCCTCCTCCCAGCAGGTCCACGGCCCCCATCTGGACAGGGGCTGTGCTCAGCGGGGGCCCGGTGACCGGGGGGCCCAGGTCCAGGTTAAGCAGGTCCCCGAGGAGGTCGCCTTGGGCAGGGATGACAGCCGGCTGCTCCCCAGGGGGTGCGCCTGTCGGGGCAGCCTCAGGGCTCTCGGCACTCTCGCTCCTGCCACAGAAGACCCGGGAAAGGGAACAGTGAGCTGGGCACGGCATTAAGGGGGGCATCAAGGGGGAGGGGAGCACAGCTGGTTTGGAGGGCAGAGGGCATTTTCTGGCATCCTGCCCCCCAGAGGTCTCTGGGAGGCTGAAGCCAGCCCCCTTCTCCACCAGGAATATGCATACAGCAGGCACTCAATCATTAAACTGAGTAAACCCAGCAGAGGAGAGGAAGACCCCGGGTCACCCTGAAACAATGTCAAATGCTGATTCTCTGCCCGTGCCGCTGCAGGGAAATCGCTGACTATCCAGCCGGGTGGGCAGCCGTGCTGCCCTCTGAGCTGCCGGGCCTGGCCGGCTCCCTCCCCACAGGGCCTGGTACTCACGAGCCCGTGCGTGGGGGCAGGCTCTTGTGCACCACCCCCCGACTGCCCTCCACAAAGGCACTGGGGGGCTTGTGGTAGACCGAGGCTAATGTGCCAATGTAGCAGATGAGCTCGTCGAGGAGCGTGGGCTCGATGAGGTCGGTCTCCTCTGAGATCAGCGGCTTCTCGGCCAGGACCACCTCCTTGGCCGCCACGGGGTCTGTGGAGAGCAGGCGCCAATAGATGTAGCCGCGGTCCCGCAGATCAGGGTTATCTGAGTCCTTCACAGGAGGAGGTGGGCATGGTGCAGCACAGTGAGAGAAAAGAGAGGGCCGGAGGTCAGAGTGGGGCAGCAGCTGATGGCCTCGTCAGACCTCACTCTGCGGGGCCTGAGAAGGGTGAGCAATGGAGCGACCCTCACACACCACCCCCCGCTCCCCTGAGCAGGAGGTGGGGGTGGTGACGAGCCTGAGCCAGCAGGGTCACTAGGCTCATGGGCCCTCTGCCCTGGCCTCGGCTCTTTCCTTCCCCATTCCCACACTGAGTCCAGGGGCCCTCACCAATCCATGCCTGCCCTTTGTGGCCCACAGCACACACTCTAGCCATGATGGTGATGTGGCCTCGAACGACAGGCAGGCCTCTGTAGCCAGTGTAAGCTCACTGAGGGCAGGGGGGCCAGGCTTTCCTTCAGAGCTAAGCCTGTCCAGGGTGCTGGCGGCAGTGCCGCTGAGGCCTAACTCCCGGATCCACTTTCCCTCCCTCCCTCTGCGAGCTGGGCAGAAGCGTCGGGGCGCACCTGGGTGGCCAGGCTGAGGACCTGCTGCACCAGCTCCTGGGTCTCTGTTGGCTTCTTCAGGAAGAGCTTCACAATCGCTGTCAGCAGCTGCAGCTGGACCTGGGGCAGGCGAGAAGAGGCGTGAGAGCAGCTGGGGGCAGGCAGCGCACAGGCGGAGGTGGCACTGGAGGCAGGGTCACCATCTCCAGGAGGGGAGAGGGGTTAAGAGAGTGCCTGGCCTTGACTAGGCCAACCCTGCCTAGGCAGGCTGGAGCCCTGGGCACAGCTGACAGCGGACTCTCCCCACTGGGAACTCAGGCTCCTCCTCCTGCAGACCCTGGGCGGTACCCAGAGCATCTCTTACAGGTGGGGACATGAGGCTTAAAGCAGGGCGAGGATGGCCCCCAGGGCTCATGGGCATCAAATGGTGGAAGTGAGGGGAGAGCCCTGGTCTGCGAACGGGCAGCTCAGGCCGAGAGGCCGAGACCCAGGAGCCAGGCCATGACTCCACCACATCCTCGCTCTGTGGCCTCTGCCCAGTCCTTTATAACATGAGGGTGACAGGCTCCGCTGGCGCTGAACTCCATGGGGAAAGAAACACCCAGAGGGCCCCTAGACATCCCCCGCAGCAGCAGGCGGGATGGGGAGGCAGTTACACAAACCCCACAGGAAGAGGCAGGCTGCCCAAGGGCTCCCCCCAAAACAAGCCCCTTGCTGAGGCTAGCTCTGAGGGAGGAGGAGAAGAGGCTGGGGACACTGAGGCCGCAGCAGCAGCTGCAGGACAATCAGCTGCTCAATGATCCCAGCCCACAGGGCAGGCTAATGCAGAGGTGTGTAGGTGGGTCATATGGTGAACCCGAGAGCCTCTCAGGAGACAGCTGGAGAGCAAACTCACCTCTCTGACCATCCCACAGGACAACTGTGTGTCCCCCGTCTGCCTGCCTTGCAGGGAGGTGAAAAGGGGGCTGCCACCATGAAGGGGGCAGACAGCCTGGCTCTGGACAAGAGTCTTAGCTCCCCGAGAGCAGACACAGTCTCCATCTTTTGTCCTGGCCTCCTCAATGGCTGGCCCATAGTAGGTGCTCAATAAAGCTTGCTGACTGATCTTAAAGAAGGGCTGGTAGTAGCTAGGGCTGCCTCTGTGCCTCACACTGCAGGAGGGCAGAAGGCCAGCTTCCCTCAGAGAGACTCCCCCCCTCCAGGGCCCACACGAGCCCCCTAGCCTGCCATGGGCTAGAGGAGCAAGAAAGGAGCCTAGCCTCCTATGCCCCCCCCAATGAGGCTGAGGCTCCCCAACAACCCAGCTTGGGCCAGGACCCCAGAGTGGAGGGCCACTGCACTGTCCCACCCCCAAACCAGCTACCAAATTCTACTGGGACTTCTTGGGAACGGCTGGGCAGCCCAGGGGAGTGAGGAGGAGTGGGTGCCACCAGAGCCTCCCAGCTGCCTCCTGCTTCAAAACCTGCCTCCCTGAATTCTTTCTGCAAGAGTGTGTGTGTGCACGTGTGCGCATGTGTGTGCGTATGTGTGTGTGTGTACATATACGTGCAGGGGGAGGAGGAGCTGCCGTGCACCCACCCCAAGCCACTCAGGCCCAGGCCAGGCTAAGTCTGGTCCCTCTGGTCCACGGCCCTCTCCCCTTCTCTCCCAGCGGCCTGCCAGCTTGGGGAGGGGTGCGGCCACGCCCTCCCCTCACCTGGGTGCTCTCATCATGGAAGCCTTCCAGGAAGCTCTCCAGGAGCTCATCAGCATTGTCGATGCGCTCAGCATACTCGCCCACGATCCAGATCATGGCCGCCCGCGCCTCTGGCTCATCCAAGGAGTCCAGGTTCTCACACAGGGTGGCAATCACGCTCTCGTACCTGCGGCCGCGGGAGAGCAGAGAGACGAGGGTGGATGAGAAGGCCCCCCGGGATGTACCTGGACAGTGGGCACGGCCCTGGAGGACAGACGCTTAGGGGCACCCTCACACGGGCAGAGCTAGAGCAAAGGGGAGGCTGGAGGCGGTACAGAAAGCCGGGCAGGGGGCCAGCCCGCGGGCACCTACTTGTTGGGGGGTACTTGCGGAAGATGTCTTTGATCACCACGATGGCCTCCTGCACCACATAGTTGACCTTGGTCTGGATCAGGTCCAGCAGGGTACTCACACAGCGCTCCGCAGATTGCTGCAAGGATAGAGCAGGGGGTGGGGGGCAGCTCTTAGCCAAGCCCTCACTCTGGCAGCAGAGGCAAGGCAGGGCTGTGGAGACCTCGTCCCCCAGTAACAGAATGGGGCAACAACCCACAGAAAGTCACCTGGGCAGGTGAAGGCAGACCACCGATCACAGCCCAGGGTCTGACCTCTGTCCCTTTGCTGCTAAAAACTGGCCCCTGGGCACTGATACAAAGGCCATCCTTGAAGGGGGAGCTGGGGTGGGGGGCTACTGAAGGGCTCCTTGACCCCCAGACCCAGCCCTTCCAGGATAAGTGGTCTGATGGCAGAGGGGCCATCTCTGCAGGCTTGGCATAAGGACAGAACAGAGTGGTAGGGGCAGACACTAACTATGTGTGGGATCTTGAACACGTTACCTCCTTTCTCTGGGCCTCAGTTTCCTCAACCATAAAATGAGAACATTAAACTAGGTGGCCAACCGCTAAGGTCCCTTCGAGATTTAAATTAGGACAAGGAGACCAAAGAGTGGAGGCAGCAGCCTGAGGAGGACGACAGAGCCTGGAGAGACACAAGCCCCAGTGCTGACGTCCCCTGCAAGTGTGCGTGTCCCCCACTGACAACCTTCCAAAAAGGAAGTTAGGACCCCAGGATCTGCCTCACCAGGCAAGCCAGCCAGACGCCTTTCTGGCTGTCCAGGTCATCCTGGCCTGAGTTCCTGCAGGGCGGCCCCAATTATTAGTGATCTGAGGGGTTTGGCTCATCTACACAGAGCATCACGACTGACCTCAAACCCAGTCATCCCAAGTGCCAGAAGGGCAGGGGAGACAGATGAGCTGTCCAGGGATGGATGAACTCCATCACTGGGACCTGGAAGCTTTGAAGGAGATGGGAGCTGCAGTGAGGAAGCCTCCCCCTCTCTCCCGACTCTGATCTCCTGTCAGGGCCCATGGCTTGGGCTCCCAAGGGTTCCTATTACCCAGAGGGGCCCAGGCCTTGTCCCGGAGCCGGCTCCGGGAACGCTCACCTCCACCTTGATGGCGCAGCGGCCAATGGCACGGACGGCCTTGCGCACAAAGTCCACATCCACTTCTGTGGCATACTCCTTCAGTTCGCCAGCACCTGCCATGGGAATATGCAGTGAGACATGGCCAGCAGAACAGCATCAGCTCTGCCGGGGAGGAGCTGGGCTTCTCCTAAGAGGGTGCACCAACTGCTTTGGAAAGATGGAGGCCATGGTGGAGGGGGTCATCTGGGAACAGGGAGCTGGCGTCCCGTAGAGCCAGGGTTCTTTGGGAATGGAGCCTGAGACCACCCAGGAGGCAGGCCCCATGTGCCCCTGCACCAGGGCCGGCTGACCTGGGCAATGTTGGCTTGGGAGGCCAGGCGGATCATGATGTCCAGTTTTTCTAGCTTCACATAGATGGGATCGTTGTACTTGACGAAAAAGACCTTCATCTCATGTTTCAAGATCTCAGGCCTAGAAAGGGAGAAAAACTGCTCACACCTAAGACCATCCTAAGAAATGATCAAAAGAGCAAGCCTGGGGGATGGCGAGAGAGGCAGCCACAGCCTCGTGGGCCTCTTGTCCTAGACAAACAATGCACACGGGAGCCCCACATTCAGACTATCTAGTAATGAGTCAGCTCCACAAAGCACCAAACCTAGCAGGCTCTGTCCTGAACGCGGAGGAGATGAGCCTACACCCACAGGACAGCTGGACGCAAGGCCTGAGGCGCAGAAAAGGGAAGTGGAAGAAGACAAATGGAGGAAAGGAAGAAAGAGGGAGAGGGGGTCTGCATAGCGGGGTTTATTTAGGGGACCTGGGGTAGCAACAATGGCCAGCTGCCTGGTCCTGACCCCTTCCATGGCCAGGAGGCTGAGATGGCCCTCAGAGAGGGTCCCTCATGTTCCCCAAATCCCAGCAAGTTACAGCAGGCAGCCCAGCCCCTCGGGCCCTCGGTGAGAAGGGTAGGGATCACACCAGAGGGGTGCGAAGGCCCCTCACTTTCACCGAAGCTGCCTCTGATTGGGCTGAGAGCCCAGCAGCGGTGAATGGGAGCGGGAGGAGGGCCCCTCGCCCACGCAGGGCGGCGGTCACCTTTTCTGCACGATGAGGTTGATGTTGCGAAGGGCCACGTACTGCAGCTCCGGCTCGGCCGACAGCAGGGTGACCAGGGGAGGCGCCAGCTTTTTCAGGAGCGTGCTGTAGTAGTCCAGGTCCTTTGAAAGCATCTCCATGAATTTCATCAGCACCTTCACCGCTGACAGCACCACCGCTGAGTTGGCGTGAGAGAGCCGGGGGGTCACACGCTCGCAGATGCTAAAGAGAAACAGTGTTCCCCATTCCACAGCAAACAAAAGAGAGGGGGACAGAGGACAGAGCCGGGATCCACCACAGAATCCCAGCATTTGGGGGCCACAGGAGCTCCCCCAGCAGGCCAGGCAAAGGAACTGGCGCAGCCCCCGCCCCGCATCGCTCCTCACCCAGGGCCCGGACCCTGGGCAGCTGGCAGTGGAGGGTGCAGTGGGAGCTCGTATGTGCAGAGGAAGGAAGAAGGCCAGGGACCCCCTGGCTGTTCTGGAGGCTCCAAGTCTGAAGCCCTTGGCAGACCAAGGGCCCCGAGAGCTCCATGCCCTCTGCTCACCTCTGGGCTTCCCGGTCATCCTTGGGCATGTAGTTGGCCAGGCAGTCCAAGATGAAGATCTGGCCCCACTCTGTGCACTCATTCAGGGCCGTCAACAGCTTGTTGATCGACTGTGGGTTCAGGTCCAAGAGGTTGCTGCTTGGGTGAGACTCGGCTATCTCCGAGAGGGCAGCCACAGCGTTGGCCACCACCTGCAAGAGAGGACACGAGGTCGGCGCCCCAGGAACACAAGCCATGTGACAAGGCCGGTGGGATGCCATTCGGCACACACGCACAGTACTGTCTTACATGTTCCTCTACACACACACACACACACACACACACACACACACACACACACACACACACACAGAGGCTGTCTGCCTGACTGACACAGGGCTTGATCTAGCAGGCAATATTTGTGATCTTAGAATATTCAGCGCCTATCAAGGACTCTATGATACCTCTCCCATCTGTAAAACGGGACCAAAACCCTCCATGTATCAGACAAGAACAGGAGGATGACAACAGAGGCGTCTTTGGTACATGACGCTCCCCTCCTTATCTTACCATGTGAGCAGGGAAGAAGCAAAGGTTTCTGGGTACACGAGCCCCCCTTCACCCCAGCCACCATCCCAAACATCCACTTCCCGAGGCTGACGGAGAGGGCTGGGAAGCTCAGAGGGAGGCCGCCAAGCAGTCAGGTTGGCTGGGACCCAGGAGAGCCTCAGTCGCCATGCCTGGGCCTTGGTATGTGGCAGAGCGCCTGGGGAAGGTCCCAATCTCCTTCCTGCTCCCCCTGTCCTGAAGCCAGAGGCCACTCTGTACGTCCTCTGGCTGCCCCCTAGGCCATGGCACCCCGGGAGCAGGCCACTGGGTGGGGATGCCCAAAGGCACATGTTCTGGTGGAGAGAGAAGCTAAGGACCTCTTAGATGTTGATGGGGCTTCCCACAAGGCACCCACGGTGGCAGCAATGGGGGCTCAGAGCCAAGAAGAGCTGGCTGCTGAGAGAAATCAGGACAGTGCATGAGAGGCACCCGGGGTGCGCAATCAGAAGAGCTATCCTGCTACCCTGGCTCGCCTACAACCTGGGCAGCACAGGGGCCGTCCTGCCTGCCTCACGGGGTGGCTGTGAAGGGGCCCGGTCCACTGTGACACACAAGCTAGTGGGAGTTACCTTGAGTCTTCCATGCTCCAGAGCTCACACGCACGTGCACATGCAACCACACATGCACGCACACACAAACATGCACACATTCACTGGGTCATTTGTTCCTTAACATAAACCTCTGGTGGACAGAAAGCAGGGAGCATTGTCACATCAGGGAGTGGCCCCAACTCTCCTCATTAGTGAAGGACAGACAAAGCTTGGAAGGAAAATTCTGCATCCCAATCCCTGCTCCAGTGAGAGGCAGTGCCTCCATCCTAACAGATCCAGGGCCCCGCTGGGGCCACCTAACTGTGCCTCTTCCGCCTCTCCCTCTCTGTCTCCCTCCTCCCTTCCTTCTCTCTCCCCCCCACCCTTTCTTTCTCTCTCTCTCTCGCTCTCTCTCTGTCTCACACACACACAATGACTATGTGGCTCTGGGCAAGTGACTTCACCAACTGGGCCCAGGCATCCCCTCTACAGTGCAGCTCCTGCTGCACTGGGCTAAGACGCTTCTCTGCATTGCTGCAAGGAAGCTCTCCACCAGGATTTCCCTGGTTTACCAAAGGAATCCAGGTCTGGACACAAACAGGTCCCACTGCACCAAATGGCACCAGTGGAGATTCCCACAAGCACTGGCCACAAGCGTGCTTGGGAAAGCAGCAGCTTGTGGACCGTTCACCAGGAGGTGACGCTGTTTAATCACGACTGGCCTGCCTAGGAAGCACCTGGCTCTTCAACGAGGGCTGTGGGGCTGGCCCAGACAGGTTCGGCGAAGTTGCCCGAGCCCAGGCTCCAGGAAGGAAGGCCCAAGGCAGGACGGCGCTGGCTCACCATGGGGTTGGAGTCTGAGATGAGGTCCTTGAGGGTGTCCAGGAAGCCCTGGTCCTCCACCAGCTGGGCATTGATGTCATGCAGCTTGGCCACGCACACAGCGGCCGTCTTACGTACATAAGGATCCTCGTCCTTCAGGCACTTGCGGAGAGGCTCACACAGGTACTCGGTAATCTTATCCACTCGAATGCAGCCCATGGTCCGCACGGCCAGGGCCCGGATCAGGGGGTTGGGATCCTCACAATCCTAAAAGGGTTAGACACAGAGGCCCGTCTCATTTCCAAAATTCCCTACAGAGGGTCTCAAGACTATATGTCAGAGTCCAAGCTGACCACTAAGCTTACTAGCCTCAGATTCAACTGCCAAGAGTGTAAGCATGTCAACAAATCTTCCTTAGCTGCTCCAAAATGATCCTAGGGGGTCCTAGTATCCATAGGATGTCACCATGAAGGGAAAAAAGCATGTATACATGTGCAGAGAGAGAGAAGGGATAAGGAGAGAGAGAGGAGGAGAGAGAGAGAGAGAGAAAGAGAGAGAGAAAGAGAGAGAGAGAGAGAGAAAGAGAGGGGGGGATAGAGAGAGAGAGAGAGAGAGAGAGAGAGAGAGAGAGAGAGAGAGTAAGGGGGGATAGAGAGAGAGAGAGAGAGAGAGAAGAGAGAGAGAGAAGGAGAGAGACAGAGAGAGAAAGAGAGAGGGGGGGATAGAGAGAGAGAGAGAGAGAGAGAGAGAAAGAGGGGGGGGATAGAGAGAGAGAGAGAGAGAGGAGAGAGAGAGAAGGAGAGAGACAGAGAGAGAAAGAGAGAGGGGGGGATAGAGAGAGAGAGAGAGAGAGAGAGAGAGAGAGAGAGAGAGAGAGAGAGAGAGAGAGAGAGAGAGAGAGAGAGAGGGAGAGGGGGAAAAGGAGCTGAAGCTGCTGGGGCCATGGGTGCGACTCTAGGGGCGGGAAGGCCTGGGCCCCGCCCACCTTCACAAAGGTGTTGACCGCCATGATGGCCATGTCCGGCTGGCTTTTGGCATAATTCATCAGGTACAGGTACACCAGCTTCTTCAGCTCGAGGTTGTCGGTCTGCATGCAGTTGACCACGTCGGGGAAGAGGGCACTGGGGAGCCAAACCAGACCAATCAGCACAGGCCTGACCTCCTGGGCAGAAGGTGCACAAGACAGCCTCAGGTGGTGGGCAGGGAGAGCCACATGAGAGAGACTGAGAGTGTGGCCGGGGGAGGGGATGCAGACAGAGATGTTCCCCCAAAAAGGAGGCAGGGAGGGTCTCTGCCACCCTTGGCTGCTGTGACATCTAAGCCCGGGGGTCCAGAGCTCCTTCTGAGGTGGCTGCTTTTGTTCAGGGAGCAGATCTCCTGTTTCGGACGGAACCCAAGGAAAGGCAGGGAGCCGTGCGGACACCCGCTGGTTTCCTGAGGGGAAGAGCCCTCGGCAGGGGACGCTGCCTGCGGTCCCTGCACCCTGGTTCACAGCTTGGGCCCCTGCTCTTAAACTGGTCCATAGGGAGCACGGTGTTCTCTGGGCTGGGCAGCCTTAGCCTCACTTTCTCTTGTCTCAAATTTATTTTTTTAAGGCAATTGGGGTTAAGTGACTTGCCCAGGGTCACACAGCCAGTAAGCATCAAGTGCTTGGTCTGAGGCCAGATTTGAACTCAGGTCCTCCTGACTTCAGGGCCGGTGCTCTATCCACTGTGCCACCTCGCTGCCCCTCTTGTCTCAAATTCTTAAGGCAAACACGGAGAAGGGAAGGGAAGGCTGAGGTTTGGGAGCCTGAAGTGGATCTTGGAGGGGCTGAGATGGGGCGGTGGGCCAGGGCAGGAACAGACAGATCACCCTGAAACTGCCACATCAAGGGAGAGAAAAGGGGGTTTGGAGCGGGAGGAAATGCTGGTGAGCCTGGCCTGATCTTCCATGCCCGACGCCTGAGCAAAACAGGATTGTCTGCAATGGAATAACAAAGTCATCTCCTGCACAAAGAGGTGACACTGGTGCTCCATGCTGCAGAGGTGTCTGACGTGGGCAGCGGCCCAGCGGAGCCAGGCCAGGCCCCAGAGCAGGCCCAGCCAATTCTCTCGGCCTGGGAACAGTCCCTGCTCTTCCTAGTGGGTTCTCGGGGCCCTTCCTCTGTGGGATGATGGGCTCTGCTGGCTCCCAGGACACACTGGCTCCCCAGTGAAGAGGGAAAGGCGTGTGCATACGTGTGCATGTGTGTGGAGACTGGCCTGGGTTAGTCTGTCATGGCACTGTTACCAGAAGGCAGGAATTCTTAGCCAGGGTTGTGAATTTTTTTTTCTAGACAATGGGGCTAAGTGACTTGCCCAGGGTCACACAGCTAGTAAGTGTCAAGTGTCTAAAGCTAGATTTGAACTCAGGTCCTCCTGACTCCAGGGCTGGTATTCTATCCACTGCGCCACCTAGATGCCCCTAAATGTGAATTTGAGGAACTCACATTGATTTCCTTAAGAGTACTGTCTTATCTTGTCTTGTTTTTTATGTTTTTTTGCTAGGCAATGGAGTTAAGTGACTTGCCCAGGGTCACACAGCTAGTAAGTAACAAGTGTCTGAGGCCGGATTTAAACTTAGGTTTTCCAGACTCCAAGGCCAGAGCTCTATCCACAGCACCACCTAGCTGCCCCCATGAATGTGTGTGTGTGTGTGTGTGTGTGTGTGTGTGTGTGTTCGTGAGTCTTCTTTTTTTTTATGACTTTATTTTGAATTATCAACAATCACTTCCATAAGCTTTTGAGTTTTAAATTTTTCTCCCCCACGAATTTGTTTCTAAAAAATATTTCGATCACCATATTTCAATATAATAGGTTGCTTTTGTAATCTTATTGGCTTCATTTTATCCCATTAAAAACATGATTCTGAGAAGGGGTCCCTAGGAGTCACCAGCTGGCCAGAGGTGTACAGGACACAGGAAGGCGCAGAAGCCCTGCCCTGAGAGAATTCTCAGCACAAAATAAGGCTGCTGTTCTCAAGGAGCTCACCATCTGGCTGCAGAGACAGAGCGCACACAAGTGGTGCGAGACCAGATGAGAAGGAAACGCATGGCAGAGAGAACGGCATTCTGGGTGGAAGGGAGGGGGAGAGCCCGGGGCCCAGAGTCAGGAGAAGCCCGGCTGAGGCCTTGGGTTCAGAGGAGGGAGGAAGGGGGAGCGGGGTTGACGCCACAAGGCCTCTCCCACCTGACATCTTTGCCCACGGTCATGGACGCAATCACTTTCTTCACAGCCTCCTTCTTCTTCTCCTTCTTGTCGCTATTGAGCTCTGCCTTCAGCTCAAAGATCTCCCCTGGAAAAGAGGGGGTGACGATGAAGCCAGGCCTGTGGGGCCCAGCCAGAGGTTTGGGGTGGCTTCCCAGAACCCTGGCAGAAGCCCACATTGGCCTGGGGCCTCCACTGGGCCAGCCGGGAACCCAGGAGACCAGAGAGCTGTTCTCTAGAGGGAAGGAAGGACTTGGAAGGCTGAGGACCAGGCAGAGGATGAAGGCAGAAAAAAGGGCAAGGGAAGGTTCTGGCTCAAAGGGAGCATTAAGGGCCAAGTAAAAGCCTGAGCAGGAATCCTCAGCAACTGGCAAAATGCAGAGCTAAGGAGCAACAGACCCTGGGTCAAACAGGCATTGAGCAACTTCTGCAGTCGGGCCTTTCCTGGGACATCTACTTAAAGTGCCCTGGTCAGGGTTTCACTTCCCAGTCTACAGCTGGCTGCTTTGTGCTGAACATGGACCCCAAAGGAATGGAGAAGCAGGGCTGACCAGTGGCGGTGACCAGGACTCCCGGCTTCTCCTCTGAGCACACCCACAGCGTGGCTGTAGGGGAATCAGGGCTGCTGTACCTCAGTTTCCCATTTGTACCATGAGAACTCTCATGTCGTCTGTGCTGAGCTCCTAAAGAGGGGTACTATGACGGTGAGAGACAGTACTCGGGGGAGAGGCCACAGGCACACCCGCCACAAAGTTCCTGTTGGACTGGCTCAGGAGATAGTGGGCAGCCAGGAACAAGAGGAAATGCAGAGAATCTCAGGGCTGACCCTGGGGAAGTGGGAGGGATCTTGAGATTGAAACATAACAAACAGGGTTAACAAAAACACAAGGACACACACAGCGTGGCAGGTGGCTCGGGCAGGAAGAACGAGCCAGGCCTGGCCTTGACAGTAGGGCCTCTGCTCCCTTCATTCTCAGCCTCGTCCTCCTTTCCTGTAAGCCCCGTCAGCCCCAGAGGGTTCTGAGGCAGGCAGCAAAGGCTGAGGTCACATCAAGCTGCCTACACTTTAGAGCAGCTGATGGGCTGAGAGGGGGATCTTCCAGATGGCCACCTGACCAGAAGGGAGGCTCAGACGCCCAGCCCCAAGCCACTTTGACCAGAAGCCTCTATTCCCATGCTTGGTGCAGGCCTTGGCACATCTAGCTGGGCAGGAAGGAGGAAGGACCACACAGACTGACACATCCGGGGTCAACTTATCTGGCTGCCTCCTTCCCCAGGGGGCCAGTTTCCATGAGGAGATCACTCTTCCTGCCCATTTTCCAAGAGGAACAGTCAGTCCCCTCCATCACTCAGGAGCCACAGCTCCTGACTGCCCAAGGTTGGCCGAACCCCTCCACCTGTCGACACGCTCACCTTCACTGGGGAATTCCCTCCCCCTTAAACCCCAGGGGAGTAAGCAGTCAGGCTGGCCAGGCCGAGGCCAGGCTTGGGGCCCTTCCAGGGCAGTACCTTTCTTGGTAGTGGTGAAATACTTGGAGTCAGTCATTTTGGTCCCTTGACTGGTGGCAGACGGGTGGCTCTGCAAGGACGAGAAGAAGAAAGAACAAGAAAGACTTTACCTTCAATAACCTTCCACTAAAGCCACGAGAAAGGAGTCTTGGGAAGCCATCCAAGGGCTGAGGGGCCTGGGGGAGTCCGTTCCTTCCTGCAGCGAGGCAGACAGCCTGGTACAAAGCAGCTGCAGAGAGGTCTCGGCCCGGCAGGTGCACCCAGGGACTGTCTGCCGCACGTCCCCTCCTGACACAGCTCCGGGCTCCCTTCCTCAGTGGTCTCTCAGAGGCAGGGCTGACATTAGTTCTAGTTAGGAATGACAGAAGAAAGGCCTCTCCGGACGGCTGAGAGGCGGGAGGGGAAAGGGCACTGCCTTAGTTCAAGTCCTACCCCAGACACTTACTAGCTACGTGAGCCTGGACGAAGCCCTTAACTTTCCTGAGCTTCAGTCTCCTCATCTGTAAAATGGGTGGAGGGGTTGGATTCACTGGTCTCTAAGGGTCCTCCCAGCTCTAAGTCTGCGAGCCTATGACCCTAATTGGACAGATGAAGATGGAGTTAGCAGCAAACCGCGGCTGCTTGGAGCCAGCTCGGTTAGCACGGCTTGGACTCGGCCGTCCTGAGCCCTCCACACGTGCCTCGTGAGCCTTCGGAGAAGAGAGAGGAGAAAACGCTCAGCACTGCCATGGAGCCATCCCCAGCTTTCCCAATCCGTCACTTCCTGAGGGAGAGGTCAGGGGCTGAGGGGGACGGACAGGAGCCGTCAGAAGGGGAGCCTTCACCTGTCCTCTGGTAGACTGACAGGAAGCAGGCTAGCTTGCAGACCTCTCAGTTAACAATATCCACCCTGTGTACAGCTCAGTGGCTACTAGGCATTGCTGCTGGGAAGCGGAGAAAGCACCTGCGGGCTTCTATGACATAAAGAAGAAAAAAATGACTTCTGTTTTATTTTGCAAAACTAAAAAGAGATGTGGCATTTCCCTCATGGATATGTGGAGAAATGCAGCCCAGGAAAAAAGTCACCAGAGAAAAGGCAACGGCTGCTGGGCTCCCGATGCCAGCTGGCACAATGGGCCCTTTAGCAGAACCGTTCCCAAGTGGGTCCCTGGAGGTCTCCGTGATGGTCCCTGTGAGGCCCATCAGGTGGGTGAGGCTCTTGCAGCAGTGTGCCTCGTGACCAATGGGGCTTGGCAGGGCTCTGGGAGGCCATGCAGACAAACCTCTGTCCCCAGTGGACAAAGTCCCTCTCAGCCAGTATCTGCTGGGAGACTTCCAGTGAGAGGAGATGAATGGGGGCCCCAGGTCCCTCTCCATCTCCGACCCGTTCTAACCTCAGGAAGGCTTTCCTTTTCTTCCACTGAGTCTAAATCAGTTTCTCTCTGTTCTGTCTCCTTCACGTGGGGACAGCCCTTCAAATACCTGAAGACGGGCTGTCGCCCACCCCTCTCTGCACCTCCAGGGGACGGCTGTGAGCCATCCACTTTTATGTTTGCTTTTGATATGAACTATTTCCAATAAAAATCAGGCAATGCTTCTATTTGGGGCAGTTTGTGATGGAGCACTGGGCCTGGAGTTAGGAAGGCTCATTCATCTTCCCGAGTTCAAATCTGGCCTCAGACACTCAGTAGCTGTGTGACCCTGGACAAGTCACATCACCCTGTCTGCCTCAGTTTGCTCATCTGTAAAGTGAGCTGGAGAAGGAAATGGCAAACCCCTCCAGTATCCTGGACAAAAAATCCCAAATGGGGTCACAGACTGCCAGCAACAGCAGCAGCCTCAAGAGTGCCCCATCTGAAGCTTTAGTCCTAATTAGATTCTTCAGGAAGGGTGCAGCAGGGATGGGTGGGCAAGAAAGCCTCTCTGCATTGCTGAAATAGCCTAATGGTCACTTGACCACTAACAAAATTAAGCAGCACAGTCCCAAGGAAGGTAAACTGGACTCCTCCACTCTCACCTCCTAAGTGCCTCCCACACTTTCCTAACTCAGAGCTGTTCTCCCCTTTCTGCACGCCAAGGATGGCCTTTCAATTCCTCCCAGACATTTCAATGCCCTGCTGACCGGGCGCTCAGACTCAAAGGCTCCCACCTTATCCAAGTTTCATTATCTCTCACTTCCCCTAGCAGAGGATTAGGGCCTGGGCCAAGGAATTCATTAGGACAGGGCCCTCCCAGATGAGGAAGTTCCCTCTACTATGCAGGTCTGTGGTCATGGGATCATCTTAGAGAATGGCCCAAAGCAGACAGGTCAAATTCACTAGCCCACAAAGAAATCCAAACAAAATTACAATGGAATTGGGAAATGTCTAACAAAACAAATGATAATACAATATAACACAGATAATGTTGATTTGTGGTTTTCTAAGCCACTACGCCCTGCCTTCCTCCATCCCCTAGCCTGGGGCACTGTAAGGTCAGGAACCTCCAGGTCCTACAGCCAGGATGTGTTGGAGGTGGGCCCAGATTTCCCTGGTTTGAGGCCAGCTCCCCCTCCACCACACCCCTCTACCAGACTGTGGCTGTTCAGTTGTGTCCAACTCTTCAGAGCCCCATTTAGGTTTGGTTTTTTCGGTTTTTTTGGGCAAAGCGACTGGAGTAGTCTGCCAATTCCTTCCCCAGCTCATTCGACAGATGAAGAAACCGAGACAAACAGGGTAAAGTGACTTGCCCAAGTCACGCAGCTAGTCAGTGTCTGAGGCCGGATTGGAACTCAGCTCTTCCTGACTCCAGGCCTGGAGCTCTATCCACTGGGCCATGAGATCAGAGATGCCTTAAAGTCGACAATTCTGTGTCTCCTTTCTCTCTGTATCCTCCTCAGGCCAGCCCTGTGCAGCCAGCTCATCAACGGGACCTGCATTTAACTGAGGCGAGAGCATCATGGGTAAAACATGAGAGGTGAAAGGCCCTTCCTTCCTATGAGAACAAGCCCTTGGACTGAGCTGGGTGAGAAGGGCCGTCGTCGGGTTTCCAGAAAGGGTAGCCCTGGTGATACACGGGTCAGAAGAACACGCAGAGAAAATAAAACAAACCCTGCCCAGCTCAGTTTGCACTGTGGAAGCTGGAAGGAAACCCACAGTCCACCTACGTATGTCTGAGCTACAGTTACCATGGGAACATTGACTTACGGAGACCTCCGAGGCGAGGCCGGCCCCTCATTTTAGAGATGGGGAACCTGCCCAGAGTCCCACAGGTAAAACAGAGCTGAGGCTGGCATCCAAGTGGGCCTCACCATGTCCAAGACCTGGACCCTGCTGTGACGGTGTCAAAGGCCTTGGGAAGCCCACTTCCCCAGGTCACTGCGAAGCCAGCTTATCTTTCCCTCATCTGCAAGGGACCAAACACGCTGCCTTGAGAATCTCCCTCCTGCTTTTATAATAACCTGGAAGGGCACAGGGCAAAGATCCAGCACAGAACAAGACGGTGGTGGGGAGCCAACCTCTTTTCTTTTCTTTAGACAATCGGGATTAAGTGACTTGCCCAGAGTCACACACCTAGTAAGTGTCAAGTGTCTGGTCTGAGGCCAGATTTGAACTCAGGTCCTCCTGACTTCAGGGCCTGTGCTCTATCCACTGTAATACCTAACTGCCCCCAGCCTCTTTTCTTAAAACTAGCCAGAAGTCCTGTTGGAGTCACATGGCTGGGCAGAACCACGGAACCTTACAGTCACAAAGAGTGCCACCTTCCACTCTTGAGGCCTTTCCTGATTCCCCAACCGCCAGTGGTACTCCCCCCAACAATTAACTTGTATTTGTTTTCTAAATAAAACAGTGGAATTAGACAGCACTTTCAGCTTTGCTAAGAACTTTACAAATATCATCTTCTTTATCTCACTTTAACCCTAGGAAGTAGGTGCTAGTATTCCCATTTTACAGAGGAGGAAACTGAGGCTGAGAGAGGTTAGGTGATTTGCCCAGGATCACCAGCCGCTGCTAGCAGGAGGTGCCATGAGCAGAGGCCCAGACACCTACCAAGCATAATTAGGAGGCAGGGGAAAGCAGGCCAGTGTGTCTGGGCTTATGTAGGGACACAGTGGACGAAACGATGGAAAGAGGCCAGTGACAGGGAGCTCCCTCTCTAACTCCCAATGGAAACCCCCTTTCATTTCCAATCTGGTGCCTCCTTTACACTGAGCTGATTCTGCTGCTTGGGATCCTACAGTCAGCGGCTGGACCACCCCAGGCTTCTCATGGTGCTGTACCCACCCAACCATGAGGAAGGACAGAGAGGCTTCGCTACAGCGAACGTGAGGAGGGACTGGAGGAGGGGCCTGCTACTCAGCCACCGAAGCCTCTGATATTTCTATGGTATTCTATAACGCCAGATCACAGCCTCCTTCTTACAGCCGCTAAGCAGCGTGTCCCAGAATCCACCTGAGGCCGCCTTCTTCCTGCTCTGCAGCTGCTTTCCACCCATCACTGCTGCAGAGATCCCAAAGGGAGAAGCTGAAGAAGCCTTATTCCTTTGAAGTCAGATTACAGAGTCCTTTTTAAAGAGAAAAAGTGCCACCCTTTCTGCAAGCTGTCATGCTGCAGGGAGGGAGTCAAGACAACCACAAAACCATCCCCTGAATCTTGTCTCTTTAGTGGGAATCATTAACCTTTAGCATGCTTTCTGTGAGAGATCACGTCACGGAAAGAGCCCAGACCTGGCGCAGGAAGACCTGGAGCGCTCTGCCACTTTGTAAATTTGTAACTTCCGGCAAACCGCTGACCCTGAGCCTCAGTTTCCTCACCCTGACAGTACTTGGCATTGCTAAGACCAAAGGACAGAACTTAGGGAAAGTGTAAGCTATTACTATTGGGATTATTTCGGCAGGTTTCAGGAGATTTGGCCCAGCTTCCTCATACCAAAGGAGGAAACTTTCCCTTTTCCTCCCCAGGGAAGAGGAAACCTAGAAAGTTCATGTCTGGAGAGTGAGTTAGTGATGCCAAAGGAAGCTCAGCTGTTTTCCTGGCATGACTAGAGTCTACCCTGCAGAGCTCAGAGAAATCACGGCCTTACTCTGATGTTCCCTGATTTTGTATAGGTGCC